ACCCCCCTAAGAACACCATTTGCATTATTTTAAAATACACCAAATTGTTAAAGTGACAAAACTGACGGACTGAGCAGTCAGGGAAATAAAAGCAATCAACCCAGCCTAAATCTATTACAGTTTTAGGCTATGTCTACACTAGCCCAGATAAATTTGAAAATGTTGTATACGTCTGAAAACGCTCCGCGTCCACACTATTGTTTTAATTTGTTTTCACAGAGTTGTTCATCCACATTGAAACGGCCAAAAATGCTTACGTTAGAGTACTGCGCAAGTACTGCCCTATTTCTGTCTGCCGTTTATTTACTTTTCGGCTCTTTGAAACATCGTGGCAAAATGTTAAGGAAAAGCACCGAGTTTTTAAAATGGACTAACAATGAGGTGTTGTTGCTGCGAGTAACACAAAGGTGCAAAGTTGCAAAAGCGAGTGAGAATTAAAGAATTTGAAGAAAAGCTATGTGGAGCATGTACAAACTGATATTAATCTTTAATGCAGCTGTCACAATTGAGAGCAAACAAAACAACTGCTGTGTCATGCCCTCTGCTATCTTAGTTTAATTGGTCACATGACTGCATCACATGACTAAAATGTGTCGTTTTCGAAAAGGCTCCGGGTTTGCTGTCAACACTGTGACGTGAAAACGGCGTTTTCAAAACGCTCCGTTTTCCTTGACCCAAAACACCGTCTCAGTGTGGACGGGAGGCCAAAACGGAGAGAAAAAGATGCGTTTTCAAGCTAAAACGTATTAGTGTGGACATGGCTTTAATCTCAGTTCAGTTTTGGCAGCAGTGAACTTTCCCTAAGAGCACAAATTCACTCACTCGTTAGTGCAGCTGAAACCAAAGTGAGTAAAAGTGCAATAAGAAAGTCTGTCTGGAGCTGATAAAACTTACAGGTTCACTTACAGCATAGGTGTCAAACTCTGGCCCGTGGGCCAAATTTGGCCCGCAGCCTAATTACATTTGGCCCGCGAAGCCATACCAAATTACTATTAGAGCTGGCCTACTGGTATTATACAGTTAATATATATTGTTTAGTATTAAGCTTTGCTTGTTCCATATTCAGTTTTTCAGCAAAACTTGTTTGAGTCCATAAGAAAAGATTCATTCTTATATCTGGAGGAAGATTTTTTTTTTTTTTTTTTTTCAATAAATATTAGCGTTAGCCTGTGACTTTGTTCCAGTTTTGAATTTTGGCCCACTGTGTATTTGAGTTTGACACCCCTGACTTACAGAAATCTTGTAGGTGTGTTTGTCTCTAGATTTCTCACCTGGGCCAGTTTCAGCTTTCCATTCTTTTCAAACTGTTGGAGCGTTTACCTCTATAATCCAGAAATCTCTGAGCTCCAGTACATCTGTATTGTTAGCAGTAAAAACTAACATGATTGTACAACAGTGACAACAGTGAGCATAAGCTAGGTTTTAGACAGGCTTTACACCCAAAACACCCTAATCTGGGCTTAAAACTCTACCAGATGAGGCAGTCGCCCCCTCGCCTGATTTTTGTTTTTGTTCAATTTGCTTTTTCTTTTAAATTATATCTGAAGCTCAACAGAATCCTAAAAGGGTCCGTATAAGTTTAGGAACTGTGTGATGTTTAAGTTACTTAATCATATTAAATAACCAAATAAATAAATTAATAATAAATACAATTTTTCAAAATTTTCTTATATATTCATAAACCCCTGACATTAGCGGTAGCATTATCCAGGAAAAGTGATGCCCAGCTAACCACTTTGTCTCCTCAGGCACACTCATGTCCGGCCTTTCCCTCCTGTTCCTGATGTCTCTGATGAACATGTTCTTTGGATCTATGGTTCTGTTTAAGGTAAGTGAACCAAACAGGGCCATCCACCCTCTGCTAGAAGTTTGATCAGCTGTAAGTGAAAATGTGCCGTTTAACATCGTCATCTTCTCTGACAGGCACACATGTACCTGGGGCTGCTCATCATGTGCGGCTTTGTCCTGTTTGACACTCAGCTCATCATCGAGAAAGCAGAAAACGGGGACAAGGACTACGTCTGGTGAGGAAATGTGCTCACTGCTAGCAAAGTTCCCATGAGCCCTTTATCTGCTGGCCTACATTTCCCTATAACCAAATGCTGTGCAAATGCATCATCCCACAGTGAGCCATACAACTGAGCATCAGTTCTCAAAAAAAGTAATTTGATGCACCACATTGTATTATCAGACGAGCTGGCAGCTCGTTCTACTTGATGATGTTCTTCAGTCGGTCTGACTGTATCTCAACTGACTAATTTCTGTAGCAGAGAGGGAGATTCTCAGTTAGTAGACAACAGTATATTTGACGATGACCCCGAGGCCACGACCAGTTCTGATAAAAGACAGCATAACTCTTATTTGGGTAACTGGTGTGTTGAACAGTCTGTTATATTTAGTGACAAGAGTTGTGCCTGTGGCGGCTGATTAACTGTGACCACAGCCCTCTCTGAGAGGGTGGAGTTTGTTTTTTGGCTGTGCTGACGGAGCTGTTTTGAAGAAACGTCATTTGAGGTACTCCATCTTCAGGACTTTAAGCTGGACTGTTGGATTGTTGATGGATCAGATGTGTAATGTGAAGAGCTGAGCCAGAAGGCAAAGCTTTGGCTTTATTGATCCATCTTGGTAAATCACCTGGCTCACATTTAGACCAGTTCGACTCATTGCAAAGACTTTGGGTGTAATCACGCTGCTGAAAATGCTGCTTTGTGTTCGCTTTGCATTCACTTTCCAAAAGATTGACGGAGTTTCCTCAGCTTGATAATGGCGATAATGTCCCCCCCAACTGTTTTGTTTTGAACCTGCAGTTCATCAGAGCGATTTCTTTTCCAACCAAGAAACCGCCATATCATGTTATGAGGCCACAATCGATCTACTCAGTGCTGAAGATTGATTGATCGGTCTGGGCCTAGAAAAGCTGCATACTGTATGAAAACGCCCAATATGTTTTTACAGTTCAAAAACCACCTCTGAATATCTGTTTTTATTTTTCAGGCACTGTGTGGACTTGTTTCTTGATTTCATCACCATCTTCAGGAAACTGATGGTCATCCTTGCCATGAACGATAAGGTACTGATATTATATGACTGCAAAATACTGTCTTTGAACATTTCCAGGAATGTCTAGTGATGGCTTGTTGTAATAACAAAAGTTGTTTGTGTACATTTTAACAGTTAAAAATACGTAAGGGAGTTTCCCTGACGGTCTAGTCTATTACTCTAAAGCTATAAAGAACTACAAATGCACTTTAGTTGTTTTGGCTCAGTCCCAAATATACCATCTTGCTGCTGTACAAAGTCATTAGAGCAACAAATGTGTAGTCTTCACTGATGTAAATGGTCTCCATCTTGACTAAAATCATCACTGCTCAGCTGGTTTCACAAACTTATTTGTAAGACCATTTTTGTGAGCTGTTACTACAGAACTTAAACATAAACTGACTTCAAGCTGAAATCCAGTGAAGTATAAAAAGGCTTATTGTTTTTTGGCCTTTTCATGTTTAACAGTAACAGAAATATAAAATATGTTTCATATTTATTTTTAAAAAATGCTGATGTTCTAAAAGCCAGTTCACTAAAGTCACACAAAGAGCACATTTTCTTATTTGGCCCTCATGAATTTGAGCTATGCAAATATTTGTGGTTTCATTTGCTGAGGTTTTGAGATATCTGAGAAAGCACCACAGTACAATGACAGGAAACTTTATTAGTGGTCCACAAAAACAGTGAAAACTGAAACTTAGCATTGTGGATTTTCACAAACAGGGTCACAGAGATCTAAACATTCGTAGTGTTAACGTCTTAATTTCAGGAAAAGTTTGTTTTAAAGCTTTTTTTTTTATTTTTTAGTATTCTTAATTTTAAACTCAGACAGAAGGTACTTGGTACTTTTAATTTTAGTTAACTACACCTTGGACAGTTTTCATTTCACTTTATACTCCAGACACCTGTCTAATAAACTCGCATGCACTCATGAAGAAAATCATGTAATGAAGAAATAAATGCCATACTTGTAGCTGTAACTGTAATTTAAAACTGGGACGTCGGATTGTATCTGAGTGATGACGATACTCGGAGACGGGTAACTAAAAATATTCGGCATCTTCCGTGTGATCAGCGCGGCTCGATATCCTGAGGCTGAAGTGAGACACTCTGTTTCATAATACATAACTACAGCGCTCACAACAGCAGCTCGACCAAACTAACTGTCCCTGTTTGTGTTTTTGTTTTCAGGAGAAGAAGAAGGAGAAGAAGTAAAGAGTCTTTGAGTAGCAGGAATAAAAAACAATCAGAAAAGGCACAATTTGCAACGCACTTGGTGCTTTTCACTTTCTGTCTTCATTTTGAAATTTAACTCCTATGTGGTCTTACATTGTTGAAAATTCTTTGATTTATCATATACTTTTTTTCTAAACTTACAAGGGTTGAATGTAAGTTTATGGTATGGTATGCTCGTCCCATCCTGGCTGTGAATGAATACTTTAACGCTGCAGTGATAACGCTTGGCCTGTAGAGGGGAGCGTTGCCCTATGATTGCTCCCAGAAGCTGAGCGGCACCTAATGAGGATTTTTTCATATTTACTTGTTCTTTAGTGCCATAAATTAACATGATAGGCTCCTTTTTATAGTGGGTCACGTGAGCTTCTGAAACTGATAATTGTAATATTTTATGTAATTTCATTATTTATAGTTTTCCTTGGATTTCTTAAGTGAAATGTTGCCACATATGGTCCCATGGTTTTTGACAGCAGCTCCTCCTTTTCAGAAATTTTCCTCTGATTTGTTTTGCTCCCACGTTTTTTGGTTTTGGGTAAGAGTGAAGAGTGCTAACACTGATTAAAACCCCAGAAGCCTGTCAGACTTGTTATGATCTACACTGAACTCATTCAGAGGGACTTTCAGCCACTTGCTGGTTTGGATTTTGGATTTTGGCCTCATTGAGGAGGAAGAATTGCTGCCATCTGTCCTTTTCTCTTTCATTTTGTTCCTTCAACTTGGATTGACGGGCGAATGATTCAGACCGCTCCCCTTGTAAATCTGTTGTCTAGACAATAGTTTGCCAGATGATGATGTTAACCTGAAAATTTGGCATCTGTATAATTCCTTTTTTTCCTCTTTTTGCCTTTTTTTCTTTTCTTTTCAAAGTGTATACTGTGAAAATTTTATTTTGTTGATGTAAAACTGAAACTAATAATTTGATACATTTGCTCAAATAAATGTGTTGAACATACTGAGACAAAGTGATTGTGTCTTTATTACAGGCCTCTGTGGTTGTACTCTAATCTATGTAATCTGTACCTGATGTGTTATAGATGTGGGGGCATCTGTGGCTCAGGAGGTAGAGCAGGCCGTCTACTCAGATCCCTGTGTCAAAATATTCTTGGGCAAAATACTGAACCTCGAGTTAGCCCTGATGCATCCACCAGAGTGTGTGTGTTTATGGGAATGCTGGGGAAGCACTGAAGCATAGAAAACAGCAGTTTAGCTTTTAGAAAATGTAAGATTTGGCTTTGAAAATTGTTATTCCAAAGCTTTGAATCCCCCCCTCCCAAAAGGACTTTTCTACTCAGAAAAAACACTTTATACAGCCTACCTCTTTCTATCTACCATCCACACTCTGGTGGGCACACCAGAGGGGAACTTGGGGTTAGTTTTTTGTTCAAGGGTGTTTGGCACACAGACTGGAATCAAACCACCAACCTTCCAATCAGTAGGTGACCTGCTCTACCATCTGCACTACAGCCAATCTGTGAAGCAGAAAGGTTTTGGTGCCCTGAATCTCTCAGTAATAGCACAAGAAACAGCTTTTCATCACTCATAATAAAACTGTAGCTTTTGTATCTTGCATGATGTGGTACTGATTATTAATTTTTTTATCGTGTTATGCATTTGCAAATGTGCATATGAGAATAATGATAATGGAGGGCTCGCTTACAGCAGAACAAATGTACTGACAGGTGCACATAAACTGAACATCACAGTTTCCTGCACAGTCTGGATATTTTAAAATTGATTTAACATGGTTTATGAATTTTAGAGGTTGTTTTTTTGTTTGTTTTTAAAGGCCTCTTCTTGATGTAGCTCAAATTCTTCAGCTAAATAAAAAGTGTCAACTCCCCAGAGGTTTTATTACAATAACAATTCTCTCTTTTTAAACGCTCAGTAGTTTTGAAGCTCAAATGTTTTTATAATTAATGCTTCAAATATTCAAATATATGTAATTTTTCAAATAAAAAAATCAAATTCTAATTTTTTATTTGCATAAAATATTCAGAAATAAATTATTGCCTTGATGGGAACTATAACATTTGTCCTCAAGCCTGTAAGATGTTAGAGAGATGTTAGGCCCTTTATTCTCAGTAAGATTATCGCTCACCCTAAGGGGACAGTTTAATTTAAAGAATGTAATTTACATATTTTTCCTCTGCCTTGTAGTGCTGTTTAGCTGTTTATCCATCTAGATTGCTTTGGTGTGACTTACCCAGTTTTTGAGATGTCTGCCTTTTCTTGAGTATAATTTAAATCAATAGTGTTTTCTTTTTGGGGTTCACAGTGTTAAAAAATACATTTGAAAGTCAGCAAAAATGTCCAAAATTATTACCCACTTACTGAAAGAAATCTACAAACATTGTTGTTAGTCATGTCATGGAAGAATTTTAGTGTTAGCTGTATGGCTCACTAACATGGGAGGGTGTACACAATAGAAAAGATTCATGGAAGAAACCCGTCGCTTTATCCGTGAGACATAAACATAGTCAAAACATGCTTGTGACAGTCACATGGCTGCAAGCAAGATGTACTGTTTTTGTATCATTGAGTTCTTGGTCAGTGTTGCAGTTACTTCATGAATGTAATCCCTGTGAGCAAAAGGGTCAGGCTTCAGGTTGCTGCAAACACTCTGCTGAGACAGTTTTTTGTACTTTTGGCTCTGTATGCTGTCAGTGAGAGTGGGAATTCCTAGTAAGACCATCTGAGGCCCAGAAAGCCCACCGACCTGCTGTCAAATACGTCTTCATTGGTCTGATTTTGAAGCCTTAAAACGAATGTTCTCGCCGTTACAGTCTTTGTGTTTGGAAATTGAATGCGCTGAATAAGAGGTTGATGTGACTAACTCAAAGGTGAACAATTTGTCAATCACAAGTCGTTGCTTCAGTTCTTTGTCCTGTTGTATGACTGCATTTGGGCCACGGTTTATTTGTCAGACAGAGAAGAGCACGGCTGACTCGATGACCGCGAGGTGCTGTCCTGTGTCTGCAAAACAGGCCAAAATCATCACCCTCCTACCACCGTGCAACAGTTAGTATGAGCCGCTTGTGCTACTGTGCTGTGTATGACTCGGTGCATCATTGCCAAACATCTCCACTCCAAAGTATTGCGATTTACTCAAATGCAGCTTTTCAAAGCTAAAGCGTGCTGCCATGCTCTTTTTAGGCATGGCAGCAAACAAGCCGTACTTGTTCAGTCTTTTTCTAATTGTCTTGTCATAAACTTTAAAATGATCACGTTAATTGTGGCCTGTAGAGTCTGAGAAGCAGCTCTTCAGTTTTTTGCAGTTTTGTCTAAATATGGCACTTGGAGAGCGTTTGCTGTGACGTCCACTTCTGGCACGATTGTGGCAACATGTCAACACAAACCTGAATGCTACAGATGAGAAAAACTGCTTGAACTTCTGCTTTCATAGAAGTGCTCACACTCACTGATGATCAGTGAATTTGATTAGCAGAACCTGGCTGGTTACCCTCTATAGAAACAGTAAGGGGGTAATTCGTTTTTCGCAGGACTCCACAGAGTTCTATAAAACCTCTTTTTCACAACTGTGCAAATAACACTGCAGATCCAAGTCTGTGAGCTACTACAACCTCATATAATTACTAAAAAAAAAAAAAAAAGACTCAGACAAAACTAAATCAAAACATTTTAATTAGAAAGTTGAAAAACGGCAGTAGGTACATAGGACCTCTATTTTTGCTAGGGAACAAACGGCAATAGAGATGATGCAACACAAAATATGAAGATAACCTACTAAGCGAGGAAACTGCAGTTTTCACAGAAAGATTACAAAAAAAAGATGACTGCAAATGATGAACATTTAAAATAAATAAATAATAGAAATACATATTCATTGAATAGTGTAGCCATTTCTCTTATCTATGTTATTATTGCTGGTATATATTACCTTTAAATGTATTATGATTTCAAAACAAACTTACTCTGAGAACCTTCCTTGGCCGCAAAACAATATCAACATGATCAATAAAATCGTTTATACATTTAAAATCGTGATGCATGAGTTTCGCAATTAAGAGTCACAGACATGAACATTCTTTTTTTTTTTTTAAAGGCGCTCCATGTTTTTTGTGGGGCTTTTTCTATTTTTTTTAATACATTATGCGGTGAAATGATGCCAAGAATAGAATGGATGTATTGATACAGTACAGTACGCCATCTGTTGAACCCCTCGCCAATTTTTTCTGACGTACGGGACGAAGCTCCGTCTACGATGATAGAAACGAAAGAGAGGTCACCGAACGACAACTGGGAGTGACAACTTTTTGTGCTGCTCATTAGCTTGGCCATGCGTTTTGTTGTCCTGTACACATGATTTAAAGAGAAGTGTCCACAGTCGAGTCTGATCGTGAAAAAGTGAACAACCTATACGATTTGGGTGGCTTTTGGCTTCACGTTTATTGGAAATCCTGAGGAGATCAATCCATCTTTCCAGTTACAACAGCTGATGAGACATCACCAGTTTTTTCTTCGCGGATGTCGACGGGGAGCAGTCTTCTTTTCCTCAGCAGCATCTCAGCGCAGCCATCGACCAGGAGACGCGTCCTCCCCGTCGTCGTCCTCCTCCTCCTCCCTCTCCTCCTCCCGTCCTTGGCTGCTTCATCCTTGGCTGCCGCAGGATGACAGACTGTCGTACAGAGAATCGCTCAGAGACTCTGGAGTCTCCAGGACCTGAGGGCGACTTGGGGATAGGGCTTCCTCTGGCCGCTCCCTGAGCAGCTCCAGCCCGGCCTCCCGGCTCATCTCGGGGACGCTGGGTGTGCGCGTCTTTCCCCGGCGGCTCATGCCCGATTGGGCGGGGACGGGCAGGCTGCCTGGATCAACCACCCGGCTGGAGGAGGGGCCGCTGGCCTTCGTGCTCTGAAAGGAAGCAGAAGGGTGGGAAACATTTAAGGTCATGTGCTGTCGTCTTATGTAACGCCTTCAGGTGACACCAAAAAAGTGGGTTACAGGATTCATCCAACTGTAAATTTTTAATATTCAGCTGATGAATAATTTGTACAGGGAGAATGTGGCTCTGTGTTTTTTTACATTATGTAAGATGTAAGTGCAGATTTAAAAATGTATCCCTTCTTTTACTGCCTGTAAAGGATTTCAGCCTGTAAGTGACCCAGATAAGTCTTTTTCTCATGCTCTTGCTAAGCACTTTTCATTAAGTACAGAATAATATTCTCATTAAACACTCATTAACGAAAGCATAATAACCTTCAAAGCTTTCTCTGGTTGTTCTTCCTAAGGACTAGTCTCTAGTCTCTGCATTCTTATTCTTCAGTTTCTTAGTCAAAGCTGGGATTGGTAGTTTGAGTTTCACAGCAGATGAAAAATTGATCTTCTTTGAGTTGTCTTGATCAGCGGAGGATAAGAGCTTGTGTCCACAGGAAGTGTTTTTTGCACAATTTTCTATAAAAAGCTCAGCGTCAGTGACACATGGAGTCCTCAGCTTTTATCTTTCCCCAGTTTACGCCGTCAGTGAAATAGTTTCGGAACGGTGCTACACTTGTTAACGTCACTTCTCTTTCACCTGCTGATCGAAATCAAGGCAGGCTGGGACTTGAAACACCGTCAACTAAGGCTGTCACTATATTCAGGTTGTCATGTTACAAGTATGCACTTGACAATACAGTAAACATTCCAATGGCAGGACAATTACAGTTAACAGCAACAGCATTTCTATAAAATGCAAACAGAAATCAGTTTCCCACAACGCCCTCCCCCAAAAAACAACCCTCAGTATATTAGACTGTTAGTCATACAGGCGCAGTTAAACAGTCATTACTTTGCTGAGTTGTTGTCTCCTCTTGTTGCTCCTCACCTTTTGTGTGCGTTCCAAACATTTGGGTAAACAGTAGCTCCTCTGTGGAACTGTGCTACTGAGAACTCACAGGAGCCTATTCAGGTTTGTGGATGGTCTGATTGAGTCACTGCAGTTTAGTGCAGTCATGTAGGC